ACTGTGCCTGCTTTGGTCATGCTGCGGGGTTGGCTGTGGGGCTCAGGACTGATGTCCCAAGAGCTCACGCCCCTGGCTCCCAACATGAAATTACAAGTCAGTGGTGAAATACACAGCAGGAGGGAAGGGAGAACAATGGCATCTGGGCTCATTGGGGGCTGGCACATCTCTTCATGATCTTTCCTGCAGATATAATTTCCATTCATTTGATAACTTACCTCTGATCAAAGTATGCTCCCCTTTCTTGATGTGTATGAAAGTCAAACTACAATGTCTATTTATATGCATGTATATATTTATATGGGAAACATGGTTCTCTAGGAAAGCCATGGACTGGGTTTTTTCAGAATACACTAAAGGTGCAAAAAGAGCAGTAATATCCTAAAAGTCAAACAATGAATATTATAACTTTAAACTACAGATCAGTACAAAAATATGTATTAATCTATAAATATAAACCTGACAGCAGTAAGTCTACCTTATGCCATTAGTGGTGGGGACACTGAAATTCTTACCATTTCTTCGTCATTGTCTATGAGGAGCAGCTGAGAGTTGTTTCTCTGACAGTCGGACACGCTCTCGTTCCAGGTTTTTGGTTCAGGACTGAAGTAATAGCAGCTGTTGGAGTACGTGAGCCACCCCTGTGGGCAAGGGCCGCAACTGTATTCTGAAGAGAGATTTTGAATTACTACCTACAACTATTTGGATTCATAAAAGAAGACACATCAGACACACGCCAACGTATGATCCATCATGCACATAACACCGCCCAGAGCTGGTACAGACCAGACACTCACTGAGAAGGGGCAGCTGCTCATGCCATAGCTTATGTGCCCATAGCAACCAAACTCACACACAAAATGTCCACTCTGTGTGTCCTGACAATCAGTAAGTAAAGTCAGATTTTACTAGTAAAATTGTTAATTTCATATAAAAGCAGCAGGATATCAGCATTTTGCCACATGACTTCTAACTGTATTTTCTTCCTGTTGTTGGATAATTTGAATGTCTCCTATGATCATTTTTCATGAATATTTATTTTTAAATTTTCTAATACATGTTCTACCACAAAAATTGTGACGAATTTTACCTAACAGATATACATACTATAAACTGTACAGCATCACTGGATATCATTGTGTACCTGTCTGGCTCTTTGTTGCTGTGGATAAACCATCCTGCTCTGAATTTTTAGTATCTAGAAAGAAATGAAAATTAA